TCTATCCCCAGCTCTGGGAAGGGAGGGGAGTCTAAGGATTAGAGCAGGGGGCTGGGAGCCAGGACTCCTGGGTTCTATCCCCAGCTCTGGGAAGGGAGGGGAGTCTAAGGATTAGAGCAGGGGGCTGGGAGCCAGGACTCCTGGGTTCTATCCCCAGCTCTGGGAGGGGAGTAGGGTCTAGTGGTTAAGGCAGGGGAAGTCCAGGTCACTTGGGGTTCTGTTCATGGCCTTTCTGGTTGACCATAGGGAAGTCCCTTCCCTTCCCTGTGCTCCCATTTCTGTCTGTGAAGCCGACGGAGAGGGGGACCCCCACAGAAGTGCCCCGGGCTGCTGCTCTCCCAAGCCCCCCCCTCTCCCCGCTACAAACCCCTCTGCCTTCAGACCAATCTCGTTTTTAACCCCTTCCCTTCCCTCCATCGCAGGAGATGCGGGATCACATATCCAGCCCGTCAGCCCTGGCCTTCGCCGAGCGGAAAAACAGAGAGGTACCTGGTCCCGTCCTCCCTGAGCAGCAATCGGAGAGCTGGCGGGGGCGGGGAGCACCAGCCCGCAGCACCGCCCAGGCCCCGTAGAAAGCCCTATAGCCCATCCCATGTCCTGGTACGCCGTCCTCTCTGTCCCGCAGCCGCTGATGGGGGAGACTGGAGTGGCAGCCGGGATCCTCCATCCAGGGACATAGCTGCCCATACTTCCTGGGCACTCTGCAAGGTGCCTGATCTCTCCCTCATGGGGGGGGCTGGTCCCCATGGTGCGTTTGGCCCCCGCCCCTCTGGTAATGAGGGTCTTGCTGTGTAGGGGATGGGCTGACAGCAGCGGGAGGAGGCAAATAGCATGGAGTTTGCGTTGCCATCCTCCAGATCGGAGCCGGTGCCCCCTAGAAGGGAAGGGCCCCATGTCCCATTCCCCCCCGCCCCCCGAGCCAGCCAGTCCCCATCACCCCGAGTTACTTGCTACCCCCAGTGGTCAGCTGCCTGATGGGGGTCCCCAACCAGGGCTCCGCTCTCTCCCCGCAGATGCTGATTGGCGGGGGGGCCAGCCAGAAGCCCCCCCCGGAGCGGTACGGCCAGCTGCGGGAGGAGCTGGTGTCAGCCAATTCCCGCTATGTTGAGGAACAACAACTGCACCAGCAGGTGGGGAGCCGTCAGAGGCCACGGGCAGGGGCTGGGGGGCAGGGATATGCCCTGCAGCGTCAGGGCCAGATGTAACTCCCCTAAAGCTGGGGGGTGGGGTGGGGGAATGATCTGGATTTAAACCAGAGGCTACATCTGGCTACATGTTGGACCAATGGGCCTGTCTAGGTCCGTATCCCGCCCAGATCCCTGCCCTCTGGATCAGACCTGGGCCCGTCACCAGCAATGGCCGGCACCGGCTGCTCCAGAGTACGATTTCTCCCTTCCAGACCCCTGTAGTGATCAGCTCAGGGTGGCAGGGGATTGGGGGCTGTGGCCTGACACCCATCCACCCCGTCCGAGAGCTGGATCTAAAATTATCCAAGCTGCCACCCCTATGCCCTCTGTGTTGGACCCCCTGCAGCAGGGAGTTCCACAGCTCCACAACCTGGGGATTAACCCTGCAGGCTGGCGGTTGCACACTTTGAGGGGGTGGCGGCAGCAATTCCTCCCTCCCACCATCTTAGTTCCCTTCTCCCACCACCATCCTGGTTCCAATCCAATCGCCCCCCTCTCCCGTAACGGGACCCTGTCGCACCCCCCTGCACCGACCCACTGGCTTTTCCTGCCTCCCTTCCCCGGCAGCTGATCATAGACCAGCAGGACGAGCAGCTGGAGCTGGTGTCGGGGAGCATCCGGGTCTTGAAGCACATGTCGGGCCGGGTCGGGGACGAGCTGGACGAGCAGAGCTTGTGAGTGGGGTGGGGTGTGGGGAGACCTGCTCACAGGCTGGGAATGGGACATGAGGCCTTTCTCCACTAGGGGGCGCCAGCTCTGTTACAGCCCCAGGGCAGGGGACTGGCTGGCTCGTGGGGGTGGGGAATGGGACATGAGGCCTTTCCCCCACTAGGGGGCGCCAGTCCCAGATCTGAAAATCCTTCTCATCTGGCCCCACGTGCGAGGTGAGTTTGGTGGGTCTCAGCCCAGTTCTTAGAGGGATGACAGGTGCCCGGAGGAGAAGCCCCACCAACCTGGGGGTGGTGGAGGGAGGGAATGGGACAAGCCCCCTCCTGACACCTTGGCGTGGGCTGAAAGCGGCAGGGACTAGATCCGGGCAGGCATGTTAGTGTGGGGAGGGGAGGGGGGGGTTTCCATGTCTCTCCCGGCTTGACCACAGCCCCCCCTGGGTGGGTGCTGCACCCTGAGCTGACAGCTTGACCCTGGCTTGGCAGGATGCTGGAGGAATTTGCCCAGGAGATGGATAGCACCCAGTCCCACATGGATGGCGTGCTGAAGAAGATGGCCAAGGTCTCCCACATGACCAGCGGTGAGGGAGGCGCCGGGCAGGGGGAGATTTTTCAAAGCACCTAGGAGACTTCAGAACCTGAGTCCCCTTCCTGTCTCTGGGAAGGGAGTGGGGGTCAGTGGTTAGATCAGGGAGGGGCCGGGAGTCAGGACTCCTGGCTTCTATCCCCAGCTTTGGGAGGGAAGTGGAGTCTAGTGGTTAGAGTCAAGGAGAGCAGAGAGTCGGGACTCCTGGTTTCTATTCATGGCCCTGTGTGACTTTTGGGGCAAGTCCTTTCCCCTGCCTCAGTTTCCCTTCTGTAAAACGGGGGGTGAGGGGGGAAGCGGGGGTAGTGATCTTTACTCCTGGGGTATGTGTGCGGGTGGGAGGGAGGTTTCTTTAATGCACTCCAGGCAGCCTAGAGGTCCCTAGTGTCAGTGCTTAAGCCAACCCCCCATCTCAGAATCGCCCCTGCTACCCCCCTTCCCCCCACTCACTGCATCTCCCCCTGTGCTTCCTCCTCCCAGACCGGCGCCAGTGGTGTGTGATCGGCATTCTGCTTGTTCTCCTCATCGTGGTGCTTATCCTCTTCTTCACTCTGTAATCGACTGGCCAGGACTGCGGGGGGGCACCACTCTCCTGACCAGCACCCCCCCTCCATGCACATGCCTCCATCATTGCTTGGCAAGCAGCCCAGGAGCTGCCCTGCTGGAGCACAGCCCACCCCAGTGCCTTTCTCTGACCCTTGGGGCTGGCACCTATGGTAAAGAAAAGGCACCTCCAGGTACCAGGGGAGATTCCTGCTGGGAATCTGATTCAGGTCTCCTCCCCCTCCCCCCCCCCCACCTCCAGCCTTTGCTTCCACATCGGGGGCTTGCAGTCGGGTACAGGGCTGGGGGTGTCCTCAGCCTGTAGGGGGCCGTAGTAACATGCTGGAATGGGGGGCACTTCTGATCTCTCCCCAGATTTGGGAGGGAGGGGAAGCCAGTTCATTGGTACCTGCAAAGCCAGGAGGGGAAAGGAGAAGCAGCTTGCCCATCCCATGTTCCAGGACGGGACAGGGCAGCACAGCCTGTGCCCCCAGGGGGCGCTGTCTTATCATTCCAGCATCCTGCCGCCCGTTGCAGACAGACCAATTCTTACTAGCATGGGATGCAGACTCAGCTGTTAATACCCTCCCACGCTGGGCTGGCGCACTGGGTGCTCTGTGGGTTCAGGGGATGGTGACAGCTGCTTTTTAGGGCTCCCCCACCCTAAAGCCCAGCTGCACTTTGCCCGGCATGCGCTGGCTCCTCGCCCCTCCCCGGCAGGGCCGTCGCTCGTTTTTTTGTACGAAAAGCCAAAATAATTCCTCAGGCGGGTTTTCATGCGAAGGGCTTTCGGTTAAAGAAATTGGGGGTTGTGTTGCTGGATTTTTGCTGCCTTAGCGGGGAGGAAGAGACCTGATGGTCGGTTTGTTGTTGTTAATTATTTGTATTATGGTAGAGTCGGGAGGCCCCACGGTGCTTGGTGCTGTACAAACATAACCGGGATGGACCCTGCTGGTGCCTCTGTCGCAAGGAGAGGCTGCAGTGCATGTTGGGAGATGTTGTCTGGCCAGGGAGCAGGGCCCATGGGGGAAATAGGGGCATGAGACACTCCTTTCTACAATTCCCATGATGCACTATGGCAGCTGGGAGAGAGTGCAGTGCATCATGGGAGATGTAGTCTGGGCAGGGAGCTTGGCCCACAGAGGAAAATGGGGGTGGGAGTGGCTCCTAGCTCCACAATGTGTTATGGGAGATGTAGTCCAGCCAGGGAGCAGGGCCTGTGGGAGGAAGTAGAGGCACAAAGGACCTCCCAACTACAGCTCCCGTTTGACATGGGCCTAGAGTCTCCGGCCTCGCCGGAACCTGAATTTCTAATGTAAAAAAAATCAAATTGATATTTTTTTAAAAAAAACTTTAAACAAATGCACAATAAAGCAGCAAAACTGAGGACTTGAGCCCAATTGTTTTGTCCCTTTAAAGGCGCCTGGTTTTTGTCAGTGGCTCCGTGGGCTGAGATGGGGCCGGCCTTGGGAGCTTTTAGTGCGCAGTCCCTGGGGATCTTCGCCGTGCTCTGAAAAGTGACTTTTAAGACCAGCTCAGCGTGGGGTCAGTGGGGGCCAGATCCCCACTGGGTAGGGTGACCAGACAGCAAATGTGAAAAATCGGGATGGGGGTGGGGGGGAGGTAATAGGAGCCTATATAAGAGAAAGACCCCAAAATCGGGACATCTGGTCCCCCTACCACTGGGGTCAGTGGGGCCAGATCCCCAGCTGATGTAAAGCGGTGTTGTCCCATGGGGGTCAACGAGACTGCACTTACACCTGCTGAGAATCTGGCCCCTGGCCTCCCCATCATGCCCCTCTCCTGTCTGCTTTCCCAAGCGCTGCCTAGAAAGGGGCCGGGCCTCGAGAACGCAGCAATCCCGCCGGCAGCTCCCCTCGGGGGCTGGGTTTTGTCCCGAAGAGGCAGTGCCTCTGGCATAAGGAGACGATATGTGGGGGCAGATCCCAGCGCTTGGAATGGTGGTAACCTGCAGGGTTCTGGGTCTCTCCCGGGGGACGTGTCCCCGCCCCCAGCCACGCTCTTCTCCGCAGGCGGGAACGGGGCCCAGCTGATATAAGCAGAAATGCGAAAGGTGTTGGCGTTAGAGCGGCTGAATGAATGGAGACAGCTGCTAACGAGGCCTGGGCGCCTGCCCCCCATTATAAAGGCTGGATGAATTTGTGTGACTCTTGGCAGCTGGGGGCGGGGGGTGAACTTCTCACGGTGCCACGCCTGGAGGGACGAGCCCGGGTGCTGCAGCAATGAATGGGCACATGGGAGAGCCCCAGCAGGGGGCTCCCTCCGCTCTGTCTCCCCCTGCAGGGTGCAAAGGGAGCTGCAGTGGGCCTCTCCCGAGAGTTTCGAGCTCGTGCGTGACTAGCCAGAGGCGGCCGTGTAGACGGGCACTGCGCTGCTTCAGAGGGGCAGGGGGTGGTGCCTGGCCACCCCTGCAAGGATCCCTGCCTCTGCCTGTGCTGGGGTGTATGAACCCCACACTGGGCAACATGGGATCTGCTGGAGGAATGAAAAGGCAGGGAATTAGCTGGTTTGGGTGGCAGAGCGGGAGGGGAGCAGAGCAGCGGGAAGCCTAAAGGCTCTGACACAGCTGCCCGAAGGGGCCCTGCCCGTTGGAAGGCTGGACCCACCCCAGACACAACCAGAGAGGGAAGGATCCCATGGCCCTTGGTAACCCCCCCCCTTACGTATTGGGGTTTGGTTTTCCCCACTTGGAAGGCCCAGGGAGAACAGGTTTAAGCAGCCTTGGTTGCCAGACTACTGATAGCCCAAAGTGCCCTGGGTGGGAGCCCGGTGGAGTAGAGTGGGTGGGTCCAGGCTTCCCACCCCACAACCCCCTTGGCAGTCAGAGGTGGTGGCCGTGACCACTAGACCCCGCTCCCCAACCAGACCCCGAGAGAGGACTGTTACAGTTGGCTGGCACCTGCTCCCAGCTGGGAAGGGGGAGGGGGGCCTGGGAAATCAGCCCCCACCCCTGCCCCAAAGCCATGTGCTGCTTTTCCTGGGGTATCTGAGAAGCTAAAGAAAGCGGTGACAATAACGGGGGTTTTTTATATTATCTCGTCACCGCTCTCTGTGTCACACCACGTTCTGCAGCATTTTAAAATTTCAATGGAAATTGGGTAAGGGGGGAAGGGGGTGAGCGTGGGGGAAAATTCAGGGCCTAAATCAGAGTTGATGAGTCTCCCGGAAATGATCTGTAATCTGCTAAAAGCTCCAGCTGAGGGGGGGAGGGGGGTCTTGTCCCACCAGGTGCTGCCCCATCCTCACCTGAGCTGAGATCAGCACACCCCCCCCCCCAGCTGAGATCAGGGCCCTCGTCCCACCAGGCGCTGCCACACACACCCCTAGCTGAGATCAGGGCCCCCGGCTCACTAGGTGCTGCCCAGACCCCCCGGTTGAGATCAGGGCCCATGTCACACCTGACGCTGTGCAGACGTGGACAGAGGGTCGCTTGGCTCTCCCAGCCTGCTGTCAATCTGGAGTCACTCCGTTACAGCCAGGGGCTTGGCGTGGGCTGTGCACCTGCTCGACCCCTGCCGTGCTTAACTGTCATGGTTGTCAGTGCCCCAGGACCCAGCGCGGCCGGCTCTGCACAAACACAGGGGACGCAGCTGGCTGCCCTGACATGCTAACTAGCCAAACTAGCCCACGGGTGGGGATAGAGGGCTGGCCTCCAGGGGGGCACAGGTGCGCCCCCCACTGGAATCCTGTGGCCGCGACACCAGGAGTCTGGGGCTTGACGGGTGAACGGGGTGTGACGAAGTGGGACTGTTCTTAATGTTTCCTCTGAATACTGTGTGGGTGCCTCAGTTTCTGGCCGACCCTTTGTCGCCTTCCCCCCTGCAAGGGGATGCTAAAGGTGTGGGAGAACAAAGATCAGGTGACCTCCTGGCCCGGGAAAGGAACAACGCAGAGGAGATAGGGCTGGAGGGGGTTTCAGTTTGGAGCTGGCTGGGGACGGGGAGTGAGGGCAGACGGGGGTGTCTGGCTCACTGGGCCCCAGAATGGACCCGGCTGAGGGGTCCCGTTCTCTGGACCTACAAGCTCTGTTTTAGACCATGTTCCGGTCATCTAATAAACCTGTTTTACTGGCTGGCTGAGAGTCACATCTGACTGCGAAGTGGGGGTGCAGGACCCTCTTACTTCCCCAGGACCCCGCCTGGGCGGCCTCGCTGTGGGAAGCGCACGGAGGGGCATATGCTGAATGCTCCCAGGAGAGACCCAGGAGGTGAAGCCGTGTGAGCGTCGTGCCCTGAAGACAGTCTGCTCCGAGGGAGAGGAGGCTCCCCAGAGTCCTGCCTGGCTTTGTGGGGAGCAGTTCCAGAGCATCGCCCGGGGACTCCGTGACACGGGGGCAGACATGTGCCATGGGGAGGACTCAAGCTCTGGAAAGCCTGCCGGGCGCTCCAGCACTTACCCAGCAAGTTAGGGGTGTTGTGAGAGCCTCATGCGCGCCCCCTGGTGGCATTACGTGGCTTGGCTGCGCTGCCTCTGGACTTCGGCTTCACTCAGACCCGGGAACCGAGGACGAGATGCCGCCTTGGCGAGGGGGCTCATTGCTTAACTCCTGAAGAGTACAAAGAACCCCCCGAGTCCCTCACGCCCAGCCCTGGGGCTACTGCCGACGAGCGGCCCCCAGGCAGGAGAACCCTGCTCCGGGTGCAGGGCTGGGGCAAAAGAAACTCCCTTTCTGCGCAGCCCGTTTCCCTGCCAGCTTGGCAAGGTGGACGGGCACCTCCGCATAGAGCCGTACCCCGCCCCCAGCTGGTCTTTGAGCAGGGCTAAGTGCTTGCTCGTCAATGACCTGCCCAGACCGGGTCCCTCCCTTGGGAGCGGCTCTTCAGGGACGCATCAGGCCCTGCCGCCCCTTACAGGGGCCAGCCAGCCCAGGACACGTGACTCGACTTACCTGGGGAACCACTCTTGGCTAACAGATGACTAATCAATCTAGCAGCCCAAGGGTCAGCCCAAGCCAAATTCTGGAAGTTGAAGCTAGCCCAGTGCAGACTGGAAATCAGGTGTGACATTTTTAACCGGGAGGGGATTTAACCACTGGAGCAACTTACCCAGGGGCCTGGTCGAGTCTCCACCACTGACAATTTGTAAATCAAGATTGGATGTTTCCCTACAAGATCGTCTCATAGTTCAAACAGGAATTAATTCAGGGAAGTCCTCTGGACTCTGATCACAGAGTGTCCTTCTGACCTTCGAATCTGTAGCCCATGTTAGCGCCATGGTCTTACAACCTAAATAGGCAAAGGGAGTAGAACGAGCCCCTATTTTAGATGGGGAAACCGAGGCACAGAATTGGCCATGACTTGGCCAAGGAACCGAACCCAGCTATCTCGTGTGCCTTAAACACCAATCTCCAGCTGTTGGCAAATGCCTGGGGTGTGCGTGTGAAATGAGGATAGAAAATAACCAGCCGGGTGTGCAAATTTGTTACAAACCTTTTTTTTTTTTATTAACATTTCTGAATTCCTCTTTTTTAAAATCTTTACAGTAGTTAATGTGCAATTGTCGATACTCTCAGGTCACAGGAATGAGGGAGTCACAAAAATGTCTTGGCACTTATAACACAGAACAAATACTGGCATTATTGGGGGGGCGGGGGCAGGGTTAGAGTAACAGCAGGGGGCGCTGGAGAGCAAAGAGTGAGTTGCATTAAAATTTTTTAAAGTTTTGTTTTGTTTTCCTCTTTGTAAGTATGTTATGAGGGGGTGGCAGAGACGGGGGATCGGGGGGGGGGATGCTTGAGATTATAGAAGCTGTTTGCATCAACTGAAAGCACTTGGAAGGCATCCATGCTGCACGGGCAGGCGCTTTGAACAATCAGGCGTTTAGTGCTTTTTAAAGTGTAAATTAGAGAGTTTTTTAATCCGTTTTTTTCCCTCAGTTCGTTTTGTTTTTTTAAAAGAAACGAAAACCAACGACGATGGGAACGAAAGGGAAACCGAACCAGCCAACCAAAAAGCTGGGGGAAAACCCAGGTGCCGCGTCTCAACTCAAACGCGTAAAGTGAAGTCCAGATTGGAAAGAAAACTCAAACAATCATGTGAATACATTTGCCAGCTTAGAAAAAAAATTCCCATTGCCGGAGTGGGGGCGGGCGGGGAGGGAGGGAAGGGCTTCCCACTTGAACCTGGCGCGGGGGCAGATTGCCAGGTTTCCAGCACAGTTAATTTGGGGTGAAGGGATGTGCAGGCTAACACACCGCAGCCTGGGTGGACAAGCATGTGGCTAACATCCCATTTCCAGGCACGGATCTATGGCATGGGCCCTCCCTTGGCTCTTGGGAGAGTCGAGAACACTGGGGTGCAGGGACATCTGGGACTGCCGGCATGTTGCAAAAGGAGAGGTCTCCCGAGTTACAATGTCAATGAGGC